TCAAGATATGGTAGCTACTGAGGGTATAGTTAAAAATGGCAAAACAGAACACATCACTCATCCTCATCCAGGACTCCAGCTGCATCCACACCTGTAGGAATCTGTCAACATGTGCCAGAAAAGGAAAAGTGGATTCCAAAAAACCTCCAGCGAATACCAGCCTAAATGAAGACAATGGAGAGGAACCCACACAAGCTCACACTTTGAAACTAGACAAAACACTGCCCAAATCGGGAATAAAAGGATTAAATTAGAATATGTCTCATGTTAAATAAGTCAAAAGGAAATTAAATCACATTCTTAGAATATCTATCTATCCATCAATCATCTCTTATTTTCAGAAGTATAACCATATAACTTAAAGGAAGTGGTTTTAAATAACTAGAAATACTTGATAAATAGTTTGCAATGTGATTAGTAATTTTCTGTGTTTAATAGGAAAAACCAGTGGATGCTAACAACATGACTATGACCAACAAATGGTTACATAATTCCATGGACTGTACAGTCAGATTGTGTTACTGAGAGAATCTAGGGTTTATTAGAACTACATCCCAAAATATTCAAGTTTGAGGAACTGCAACCTGGAAGTCATGATTTTTTTTTTTTTTTTTTTTTTATGCATCTTGGAGATAGAATATTGGGCTAGACAGACCTCAGATTTGACACAGTAAAATAATATGCATGAAGGGCCCTGAGCTTTCCCTGCTGTGAAAAACAACATACTGTTTAATTTTTAAGCAGGCAATTATAGGCAGATAAATATTTCAGTCTTTTGGAAGCACTGCAAAAGTTATTTTGCTGGCAAATAAATATGCATAACTTAATACTTTAACTGTTATACTGCTAAATCACAACTATTTACATAAGATGAATTAATTGCATTTTTAAGCTTTTACACTTAGATCTTCAATAGATAAACTTCTTGAGGCTCACTGAAATACTAGCTATTAAAGCAAAATTAATTTCAAAGCTTCTTTAAAGTTGGACAGTCATGTTGCCATTCACTTGATAATTGTGAAGTTAATCAAGTCCAGAGCAAGAAGACATAGGTCAAGGCCCCTGACAATTTCAGGTAACCACTAAGTTCTCAGCAAACTCAATTTCTTTAACCTATGAAATAGATAAGAGCCAACCCTCACCATTACACACAAAATCTTCTTTTTTCTCTACAAATGGAAAAACTACCATATTAGTTCCTCTGTACCTAGAAGTACTTCCTCTACTTTAATATTCTCCCTTGGATCTCATTATTCTACTGGTGATATTGAGGGCAGGGTGAGACAAAGCTATAACAGAAAAGATTTGGTGTAATTTCTAATTACTGGGCAGTGTACCAGTAAAAGGAGAGAGATCAGTACTGCCAGAACTGACACAGAGAAGCAGAACAAAGATCATGAAAGGAACCCAATTGGTATTATGGAGGCCACTGTAACAGAGTAGCATTCTAAGATATTTATACAGAATACAATTAAAGTATGAAATAAATTATATCTTATATCTTTACTTAATATTGGAAATAAAAAATAGAAAGGTTTTTTTAAAAAGGATATTCATGGAAACATCTGCTAAAATATTCACTTATCTAGGAACCATCTATTATATTAAACAAGAACCATGAACATTATTTTTTGAGTGACTCGAAGGAGGAACAAATCCCCATGAATGAATTCACCATGAATATAGGAAAAAACAAACTTAAAAATGTTTCTGCTTATCACTTAAGATGCTCTATCTAGTAGCAGACTTAATTTTCAAGTAAGGTAAAACATGACAAAAATTATAAATTTTAGTTTTTTCAGGTATATATTTTATGGTTAATATTAGTTTTAAGAACAAAGGCCAATAAGAGTATAATCTGGACATAGTTAACAACACAGAAGAAAAAAAAACCGAAAAACATTCAAGTGGAGTAAATTTTTATATGAAGCTCTTTATATCCCTTTCCATAGGACATCAAGTTTAATAGTTCAAGGAAACTGCAAATACTGTCCCTGATGTCTGGCTTTTAGTGTATACATACTATCTTATTCCTAAGAAGATGGTTTTGCCCTACTCACATTGCATGGGTTTATACATTCTCTTTTCCCCAATCTGCCAGTTACATCTGCAGCCCAAGCATTTCTTTCCAAAAGAGGAATTAAGGCCAAGCAAGACAAAGAATTTGCTGATACACATATGTCACTCTGAGGATTCTAACAAAGTCTCCACACCCAATTTAATTACTTCCCTACTATAAAAACACTTTCCATCTGCATCTATTCTAATCATTTTGAATCCAAAACCAACACACTGTAAAGCTAGCTAAATAAATGAATGATGTTTGCTTCGGGTTCCGAGTGAGGCAGCATTTGGTATGGTAGTGGGTCTCTAGCTTATGTTTTATGCTGAGACAGTACTTCATTCTGAGTTCAATTCTTTACTTGAGATTTATATAGAATAGAATTATTAAGCTGCAGGTTTTAAATTTTAAATCTCAACTGAGTTTCTGTCTCATACCACACACATACACACACACACACACATACACACACACAAGGGTGGATCAGAAATGGGAAAGAGAGACTGTGAATGTTTGTGGTCTTAATGGGCAAAAAAAGTATCCATATCTATATATAATAAAATAATACTGCTTAGTGTCTATTATTTTTTGATAATTGTTATAAAAACAGAACTTCTATACATGCATATAATAAAAACTACTTTATGCTATCTCTGATGAGCGAACTATCCAGTAGTTATTATTTCATTGCAGAGTATTCTTTAGCATAATTAGTGTTCTTTAGCATAATTAATTATTTTCTTTGTGTTCCATCATTACATTAACTGAGTACCACTTTCAGTACTCTCAGACCTAATATTGCTGAATAAATACAGGATCCGAGAAGAGCCACATCTTCTGTCACTGACAGTGACTGGAGTGTGGAGACTGGGCAGTGTACCAGTAAAAGGAGAGAGATCAGTACTGCCAGAACATCTGGGCAGCCTTGAACCAATAAGAAAGCCCAGAGGTTCTCAAAGGCTTTTCCATATCGGGTTTTAATAAGATTGTTTGTTCATTTGTTTTCAACTGCACAAAGTTTTAAAGTTTTTAGAAAGTGATTTGTCTGATTTTACCCATGTATATTGCACATCCAGTAATTTTAAGAGTAGCTGGTCCATGGAAAACAACTGCTAATTTCTATTCAACAACTGCTAATTTCAATTTCACAGCAGCTAATTTTCAATTTCACAGAGATACATATTGTTAAATAATGTGATATATTTTAACAGTCTCTTAAAATAGCCATTATTTATCTTAAAAGTAAAGTTATGTTTTTCCTCTCACTTTTATTTTTCAGTGCTTGGGAATTGAACAAACAGCCTCCCACACACTAAGCAAGCATTCTACCAATAAGCTAACATCCCCAGCCCTAAAACTATTACTCTTGAGGTCATACAGATTGGAATTTTCTACATTGAAAAAAAAATGATGTCATTCTAAGATTAAGCTCATTAAGCACTAAACTGTTTCTTCTCTAACATACTGATGACTTCATGAACACCGAATCAATTTGGAAGCATTCTGCTACTTAAATTTTACTTAAGTATAAAATTATATGTCAAAATTCCTGTTCTCTTTTTTCTACTAATCCTCAAGACATGCACTTTACTAATTTATCAATGTATATAATCCTTGCAAAGTAATTCACAGATTGGTTACTCATAAAGGTCAGCAAAATGATCAGGAAGGAAGTCCCTACAAGGAATATAGCTTTGACCTTCCCTTCTCTGCATATTAGATTAGGATTCATTGGGTAGGGGGGATATCTTTGTTCACCCATTTCTTAATGTTCCAACAAGATAAATTTATTTAGTTCCATTTTGATAACTAACTATAAAGAACAAAGATTGAATGTCAATAATCCTATATCATATTACATTGCCCTTAATGATCCAAAGGAAAAGATCACATACAATCACTTTAATATGTAGAGGAATCAATTATAGGAACACCATGCTGTGTAAAATAAAGGAAAAGTTATTGAATGGTAAATGGATGGTACATAATACAATCTAGCTATCCAAAAGGAAATCATGGTACCATAAATATTTTACTGAGATCTGTATTTCTTTGTTGTACTAAGAGAATCACTACACCCATCATATGCTATGTGAAGAAGGACAAAATAACTAGTACCAACTCACAATTAAATGCGAATTTCTTAATCTATTAGGGTAAGTCATATCATTAGCATCAGATTAAGAACATAAGTTTATTATTGTCATGGTATTTATAATACTTTTACTTATCCATTTTAAATTCAGGCTTGAATATGGAAATGAAAGAAGGAGAATTGTGAGATTAAAACATATGTTGGGCATCTGGTCTAGCAAACAACTCAGTACTAGCAAATCCCTCAGCAGTAAGGATTGAACCCAGGGCCTTGTGTGCCCTGAACAAATACTCTACCATTGAGCTACATCCTTAGCCCTAGCACTAGGTTCCTGTGTGAAGTGGTCTCATACTTCGATTCCTCAGTTCCACCGGCTCCCAACAACCAAAGAGAGAACGCCAAGTTAATGTTGCATTTACTAATTTGATAGTATTCTAAAAAATCTAGCAGTGTTTCATTACAAAGAGAAATATTGTGGTTTTTATTTTTTGGTAAACACAGATTTGACTGTTATTCAATACCCAGCATAATTCCTGATAGAAATACATTATAAAAGATCAGATTGAAAAATGAAGTTTAACTTAATATGACATCTAAGAGAATATTTTTCAATCATTTCTAGAGATTTGTTGTTATTCTTTAAAACCAACTTCAATCACAATCTCTTTTTATTAATGTTATCATTAATGGTGCCCTGGCCAGGTAATATGTAATTTCCACACACAAATTCTGTAACAAACTCAGTGTTTCAAATCTCAGTTGTACCTGATATATAATATAATATTTTACTAGTTTTGAAGCTTCAATTTTTCTTAGAGAGTCTCAATCTTTATTTTACTGTACCTGGAATTCTGAGGTTCTGAAACATCGGAATCTGTGCACGTTTTCTTTACCTGTAAGAAAAAAGTAGTAGTTATTCTCATATGAAAATATAACTTCCTTACTCAGGTTCACACACTTATTAAAGGGGATACAGCTCTGCTCACCAAGGTCTCTATAAAATAGTCCCCACATTTTACAGCAACAGCATGCAGTACTAAATAGTGTATTTCATTATTATCCCATGAACAGCTGCCAAATGCACTTCGCTGGTCTCCATCAGTATGTAAAATGTTCAGCATAAATTGCTGGGGACCAGTTGAATGAGGAACAAAGAAACCAAAGAACCATGTTTCCCACTTAGGAACGAGAAAGCCATACTGTTCTTAGTCCATTAGGAAGTGTTTTTCCAATGGATACTGCTCCTGTCTCCTACTAAAGCACACAATAATAAACACCAGGTTCTGGAGCACAGTATAGTGTTAGCTAAAACATTCATATATTAATTTTCATTTTCTTAATCCAATGACTGTATGTTTTATACATGTCTCAGCACATCAATTAAGTTTAGGCATTGCTCCTAGACTTTTCACATATATTTGCAGTATATTTCACAGACTATATTTCAATTTTGAGGTTTCTAACCTATGAAAGGTAAAGAATGAGAATAACTTTTGCTTTTCAGGCTATGCTATCCATTATGAAGAGATGTATGTTGTAACCCTCTAAATAAGGGAAAGCACATATCCATCTTCTTTCAAAATTTAACATCAAGCCCAGATACCTATTCTGATACCATAGTCTTAAAGGTATATTGTATTCATAGTAGAATAAACCTCAAAAATCCTTTCATTAATATGGAAAGTGCACAATATATATTTACAAGTCCACTGTCATACACTCCGGATATCCGTATTGTGATGGCCTGCCTATTTATGCAACCCACAGGATTCCAGCAGTTTCAGCTTCTAATATGTGACTTGGAAGTGAAAAAGTCTACTAGATATATACTGCATAGAGACACTTATGTGGTGTGAATTGCAAAATGAAAGGCACCACTAAGGACAAGTTTTAACTTGTACAGTATTGTATTTCTAGCTCACAAAGCAATTCTTTCCTCCTCTTAAAGAATGCTTAAAACATACACACATACTTAGAAGAATGCTTAACACACACACACACACACACACACACACACACAGCCCTACACTTTCAAAAATCTGTGTCTTTTGCTTTCATTTCCAATCATAGACATTTTTGTAATCTGGGAAACCAATTATTTGCTTGATTAACTTTGTACTCTCTTTTGCTTCCAGTGTACACATTTACACAATAGGAAAATCAAACTGAGAAGCAAAGAGATTGTCGTTCTGTTCTATTAGTTCCTTTACCATGGAACTCTAGCACCAGGAGACAGAGGAAGGAAGAAATGTTTTTAAGAGCAGGGGAAAAAAGAGGAAGAGAAGGAGAAGGACAAAGAGAATGAAAAAGACAGAAAAGGTGGGGGAAGAATACTTTTCTTAAAATGTGAATACAAAATTCACCAGAAAATCCACCAAAATCTCATATCCATTAAAAATTTGTCCAAGAAAAAAATAGGAACCAAATGGGAAAGACAGCAGGAAATACAATCCTTCCTTCCCACTAGTTCTTTCCTCTAAATCACCACCAGAAACCATCTGATCTGCCCAATGGATACACAAAAAACACTCCAAATGAATACTACTTTCCTTAAGACCATGGTGACTTACCTTTGAGACTGGCAGAGAAGCTCCAGAACACCACAAAAAAACAAAACAACAACAACAACAAAAAAAAACAAAAACATACACTCCCGGCAAGACTCAGAGCCAGGTAAGCTTCCTGTGACTTATTGACAAACCATTTTTTCTTTATTACCCTTGATTTTCCAAAGCGTCATTTTCCAAAAAAACTTACCAGAAAGTTCTGATTCTTTTTAATTCATTTTCAAAGTACTAATTATAATACCAATCTAATAATTATAATACAAATCTATTGATTCTTTTACTATCTAGTACCCATGAAATCCTGGACTTCTAAATAATAATTAGTATAAGTAAAAAATTAGATTTTTTTTCAGATATTGGTAAAGCTATGCTTTCATCCAGATGGTTGCAATTAGAATTTTTTGTTCACTTTGTGGTTGAATGAAGGAAGGGTAGTATTTAGTATACTGTGACTAGTATAGGGTACAACTATCTGAAGTGCTGTGTTTACAAAACAAACTCCTCCATCTCAAAGAAGAAGGGAAGGGAAAAAAAGGAGCAATTTCTGAACTGGTTCTTGAAAACTCCACATGGAGAACATCAGCACTTCCCTGTCCTGGGCTTGGCAGGAAACCACCTTATGAAGTCCTGGTACCCAGTTAAAGGGTCTAGAAATTAACCTTGGGCAATGCAGACCACTGAAGTGGAGATATATATATATATATATATATATATATATATATATATA